TGCAGAATACCCCCTTGGGGGGGGGCCTCAGAAAAGCACAAGAAGCAGACCCCACCCCAACCCTCCCAAGTCCACGGCGGGAAAAGTTTCTGGGGTCGCCGCAGCGCCCTCCACCCCACCGGCGCGGCTCGCACTCACCGACCCCAGCGGTCCCGCAGCGCTGATGCTCCTGCTGGCCCTCGGTCCGAGTCACATCTCTGCAGCGCAGCCGTGCCCCCAGCCCAGCGCGCCCGCCCGCCCGTCCGACCTCACTGCATCGCACTCGCGAGCCGCCTGGCCGGCCGGCCCGCCCCCGGAGCTTCCAAGCCCCGCCCCTCCCCGGCCCCCCAGGCTAGGCTGAGTGTTCCGAAAGCAGCCCCGCGCAATCTCCTTGCTCCTGGCCTGCGGCGCTGAGACGAGCCCTCTCCAGTGTCCCCAGTTAACGAACACCACCCGCACATCCACAGTGCGTCCATAAGCAGTCCGGACGCGCTGGACACATCCCCAGGTTGATCCACTTTCAGAAACACACACATGGAGGGGCTTTCTAAACCATGGGGTCCTAAACATTAACTTCCCCACAATATACCAGCACCCATCTAGGGCGCAGAGAGGATTCCGCCGCGAGGGTTCCAAAATCACCAACGCCCCAATATCAACTAGGCAGCCCCTTCCCGCCTGGGTACACTCCAATTGCCCTCCCCCCCACCCCAGTGTCCTTGTCCCTTTGCGCACCCTGAGCCCAACAGCCGCATCCTTGGCCACTCCAAACATACTCACAGGTCCACACGGTAAACCCTTCACGTGGCTCCACACGCAGTATCCCATCACCGTCCCCCCACATATCATCCACATACACACACGTCCACGACCTTCCCGGTCACACATTCGGAGGCCCGGGGCCACCGGCTTGGCGCTCCGCAGACGCTCAGGGCACAGGCGGGATGCGCGCCCACGGGGCAGCCGCGGGACCCGCTTGAAGTCTGGCTCGACGTAGTCCACCCGGCTGTCCGATGTCGGCATTGCCTCCACCGGGCCTGGGGGCTGCGCTCCAGCTTCTGACCGGCTTCTCCAGGTCTCCCCCTCCCCCGAAAAAACCCCCCAGAACTTCGAGGACCCCCCCACTTGTGGTGTGGGTAAGACCCTCCCACCCCATCCCGGCCCTACAAGACAGGACAGGGAGATGACCCCTGTTTCCCACTTCTCTGCGTGGGGGAAGGGGGGTGGGGAGGCGGGAAGATGGGTTGCGGAGTAGCACTCCCTTCTGGGCATATTTCTAGGCCCTGATCTTTGAGGTCTCCGGACCTTTCAGATATTCTCACCCCTTCCCGCCAACCTCCAGCCTCCCAGTATCCTCTTCCCCCAGCCAAGATGGTTTTCTCCCGGGCAGCCCACGTATCCTTTGGGCACGCATCTCTCCAAATATTTTATGTTAATTTTAAGGAAAAATGGAGAAGAAGCACGAAAACAGAAAACTATGCCGGTTTCATCGGCAGACGCATCCTCAGCGCCTAGAACGGTGCCTGGCACTCAGTAGGCAATCTTTAAATGTTTGTGGTACGACCCCTCCTCAGTGTTCCTGCCAGACTGGGGAACTGGAAAATGGATGGGCACTGTCACCTGCTGGTATTTAGTGGAACTGACGCCAAGATCCTTTTCTTTCCCTCTGTAAACGTGGGCAAATTCAACTTTCTAAGCCTCAATTTCCTCATACGCAAAATGGAGATAATTGTAGTAGTACATGCCTATTGGGGTTATTGTAAAGATTAAACCTATAATACAGAGAATTCCCTCGTTGTCCAGTGGTTAGGACCCTGCGCTCTCACTGCCAAGGGCCCAGGTTCGATCCCTGGTCAGGGAACTAAAATCCCGCAAGCCGCACGGTGGCCAAACAAATAAACAAAAAACAACACAATACCTGTAAAGGGCTTCACACAGAGCCTGGCATGGAAAACTGTTAGTGTGAGTTTGGTTAATATTACAGTCATGGTTATATTCCCTTTCCTGGCTTATTTTACAGAGGGACCCTGACTGTGATGATCAGTTTAGCTTTGAGTGATGATACTTTGGGAAGCAAAGGGTGAAAATGAAGGAAGCTATTGGGTAGCAGGTTCATCTACCCCTGCCTCCCCACACAAAGTTCAAGGTCCCAAGGACCCATCACCATCATCATGATAACTTATATAGTACTCACTGTGGGCCAGGAGATCTTCTAAGGGCTTTATATTCTTCAAAGTATTTAATCCTCCCAGCAACCCTCTATGCCAGATACTGTTGTTCATCCATGTTACAGATGGAGACACTGAGGCCCAGGGGGGTTAATTACCTGCCACAGTCATACAGTTGGCAGAGCTAGGATTCAACCCAGGCACTTCCTCTCAACCAGTGGCTAAACTAGTGTCATTTGCTGCAAGGTCAGATATCATCATAGACAAGCTGCATGTCCCAGGAGTGCGCTCCCGGTTTCCAGCCCTGGAGGGAACAGGTCTAGGAGGTGCCAGGAGCTATGTCAGCTCTCAAATACTCAGTCCACTTCAAGCTAATGGCTTCCCTGGCTCTACTTCTCAACCGAAAAATGATGAGAGCACTGCCTGCGGCTTTTCTACTGACAAATGTCACGATGTGTAATTAGGTGTTTGTGTGGCTCGTTTTTAGTGTCTGTCTCCCTGCTAGGCCGTATCTCAGTGCTGTCCCAATAAGAACTTTCCACAATGATGGAAGTGTTCTCTATCTGCATCGTCCAGTATGGTAGTCACCAGCGATCTGTGGCTATTGAACACTTTATATGTGATTAGTATGACTGTGAAACTGAACTTTCAGTTTTATTTACTCATGTGACTAGAGGCTTTAAGCTCAATGAAAACAGGAACCATGTCTGTTGTTCATCCTTGTATCCCGTGCTCAGTTCAACAGATATTTGCTGACTAAGCGAATAACTAAATTCCAGCCTTGCTTTCCCCTTTGAAGTATGTCTATTCTGTATCCAAACCTCTTTTCTCTGCCAAATAAATCATCTTCCAAATGAAGGTGCTGCTCAGGACTCTGGAATTGCCAAGTCCATTTCTGTGGATTATCTTGTTCTACCCATGGAACCTTCTGAGGTAGATATTGGTATCTTGCTGTGACAAAATTGAGTCTTGGAAAGGTTGAATGACTTGTCTGAAGTCTCATGGCTGGTAAGTGAGCAGAGGCAGGATGTGAATCTAGCTACTCATGCTCTTCCCATTCACTGCTCTACCTCACAGGTGAAATTTCTGGAAACATTTGAATCATGGGGATTCAAGCATCTGATAGGATAATTTCAGTACCCCTCTAATTGCCTCAGACAGGCAACTGCCTGAATATAAGACCTTGACGGCATCACTAACATGATCCTTGGGTATCTGCTAAGTGCCAGGCTCTGTGCCTGATCCCATTGTGGTTCACAGATGGACACGAGGTGGATCCTGCTTCAGGGAGCTCCAGGCCAGCTGAGGAGGCAGACTGTTTCACTAGAGTGTGAGAAGTGGTTAGTCCAAGGCATGTGGGAGTGCCTCCAATTAATGGAGCTCTGGGAGCCCTTGCTTGGGGGCTCAGCTTCCCCAGAGACTCCAGAACTTGACTTTCCCTCCAGAGTGGGAGTGAGGGACACTTCAGGCTATTGTCATCTCTGGATGCATTTTTGGAGTGAGCAGCCAGAAGTAAGCAAGTGTGGGACATATCATTGCTACCACTCTATGGGTTTGTACCTGTGACAGACATCACTAATCAATCATCACACTCTATCTTGCCTCAGCGTACCTTATGCCTCCCATTATGTGTTAGAAGATTCAGTCACTCTTGCAAAGTGTTCCTCAGTTATTTCCAGAGTCCCCATCGGGTTGCCTCACAGGTGTCCACAAACCAGGGTGTCAACTCTCATCACCATGTAGCAGTCACTTGCTATTTCTTTCCTGCATTGGACTCTTTCTTGCCTCAGTGTAACTTATGCCTCCCATTATGTGTTAGAAGATTCAGTCACTCTTGCAAAGTGTTCCTCAGTTATTTCCAGAGTCCCCATCGGGTTGCCTCACAGGTGTCCACAAACCAGGGTGTCAACTCTCATCACCATGTAGCAGTCACTTGCTATTTCTTTCCTGCATTGGCTCCCACAGGTCCTTGTCTGTGGTCCACAAATTACTTGGAATAGTCTCATCATGGCCCCTGTGGTTCCCTGTGAGGCCAACATTGGGGCATGCTCCAAATGTCCCAAAAGCTGTAGGTTAGGCAGTATTCAAGTAACAGAACAAAAAATGGCCTAAACAATAGGGATTCTTGTTATCATACAACAGTAAGTTGGGATGTGAGTGATCTCACAGTTGATTCATGGCTCAACAATGTCAACAAGGGCCCAGACTCTTTCCAGCCTTCTGTTCTGCCATCCTCAGGTTGGCACCTCATGGTCACAAGATGGTTGCCACAGCACCATCAAGTCTTCACCTGATACTCTCAAAATGTAGGAAACAGGGGTTCAGGGAAGGGAACTCTCCTTATGAGCCTCCTGTTAACCAGGAAGGAAATCATTCCTAGAACTACCCCTTTCCCCATCTCCTCTCAGCTGTGGACTTCCCCCTTACATTTCATTGGCCAGAAGTGGCCTAGCTGGGTGGGAGGAAATATTAGAACTCCGAGTTTAAGAGCAGGAGCTCTTGAGTCAGAAATACTGGGCACTGAATATCAAGATCACTGAACAACCTTGGAAAAGTCACTTAGTGTCTCAGTGTCTAGGCTGGTTTCTGCATCTGTGCGGTGGAGGGTGATCATAACAGGCCCCACCCATCAGAGTTAAATGAACAGTAACTGAGCTGATACCTGTCAAGGGCTTTGCATTGTTGCCTGGATGGAGTTGGTGCCAAGTAGGGCTTCACAAATTGGGTGAAGACATGAAAATATGCCTGTTTTCTCTGCCCTCTTCCTCTCCTCAGTGTACCAGGTTTTTCCCAAAGTGTGTTCCAGGGAACCTCTCAGGGCGTCTGCCAGATCAAAACTGTTTTCATAATAGTACAAAAGTCTTATTTGTCCTTTTCACTATCATTCTGTCATGAGTATACAGTGAAATTTTCTAGCATCTTCAAGACACTTGATATTGCAACAGGTTGAATGCATTGGCAGATGTGGCATATAGCTAGCTGCCTTCTATTAAGTCAGACATAACAGAGATTTTCAAAAATGTAAAATATCACTAGTGCTTTTTGTTTTGGGAAATCGAGGGGTTTTTTTGTTAAAAAGATTTTGCAT